TGACTATCGGATGAGAGAATACTGGCCGCTTGAAATGAGGAGAAGCTACCAACATCATACAAATATTGTGTCGAGCTTCCTGACCAGGTCTCACTAGCGGGGCTTGGCGACATCAATCTCGTCGATGAGCAACAACTTTCGAACGTGATATCATGACAGCGAAACGATCACCCTGCATGAGCAACACGAAGCTGAAGAAGGAGGTAGGAAGTAAGAAAAACGTGTAGCTACGGCTGACACCGCCACTCATCAATACGTACAAAGTGAGAATGAACCTTCCCTTAAATGTGGGAAGATACACTCGAACTTTTAGCAGTCATATTCCTTTCGTGCAACACCTTTTTTCTACGTAACTAGATTTAGCTACTAACGTCCAGTTTTGATCGTACCATTGGTTTCGTCATAACCAAAGCCCCCCATCTATTCTTTTACTCTACCCGATTCCATCAAGGATCGAGAGAGATCCTCATTCCTCACGTCTTTTACCTCAACACCTCCACGCAGTCTCACTCTCACCCAACTCCTTCTCTACACAATTAACACCAAAACTAACAACGTCGACGTACTCTCCCGTGGTCAAGACCCCAAATTCGCATTTTTGTTCGTAAAAAAACGGTCGAGAAGGACTGAATAAATCGATTTTCCTCTCTTCCCCTTTTTCGTTTCCACCATCTTTTCGCGCTCGTTTTTTCTTTTCTAACTTTTACCCATTCCCTTATCCGTCTTTCTGAGTTTGCCACCGTGATCGCCTCATACGAAAACCTCAACATTGACTCCTTGGCCGTTCGATTCCGATAAGAATCGGGTGAGTAACGCCAAACTCCCCTCCTACAGTAGTCTTGTTCGTCTTCATCGTTTTCCCCGTCTTCAACTCCAAGCGCCCCTAGCGCAAACCTACGTACAGGTTCACTTTGTCTCCTCTCCCTTACCTATTGCACTTAGTTTGAAAACGTGTCTCGATCTAATCCGTCTTCTCTAGCTTCTGTTGCCTCGTCTTCCTGTGCCACTACGCGACATCCTGCCGCAACGTTCCTCAACGCCTAGCGCAGTTTGGTCTGTCTATCATTGGGTGATCTCATATATTGCCAACTACTCGAAAGCTCGATTGACCTTCCGCTCCTATACCCGGTCCGACAATGATGGGTGTTATTCCCCCTGATTTGCTCGACAATACCGTCATAAGCTGCGTACTAGAGATTGCTCTTGTTCTCAAGACTCGACAGACGTTCAACACTCCTTCGATTTCCGACCAGCTTGTGCATTAACCCAGACACCACAAAGGTTGTCGATACAGACATCCAGACGATGGTAGAGGAAGTCGAAATCCGACAAGGTATATGCAAAAACTTTATCTGCCAACTCAATCTGCCTCGTAGGATGACAACCCCGCTGCTTGTAACCTATGCAGGTGTCTACCCCACTTGACGACCGAAAGGACGGCGAACCTGCTACAAAGTCTGAAGCGCGAGCCCAGGCAAATCCGGTTCAGGTGTCGATTTGGGGCGGCGGTAGTAAATACTTAAAATAATTTTTTTTTAAGAGGCCGAAGTGGAACGGGGTTCCATGAAACCGGTCGGCGCCCATAGAGGTCATGGGTCGCCTTACTATGCTCCTGTCCACTCCGGTCAGGGATAGTCCGCCTTCTCTTGGCCCCCAACGGATCAACCCAATACAACCTTTTCATAACAACTCTTGGTTGGCGGGTAGTACGCCTGCAAAGACAAACGTCACTCATGCCCATTGGTCCGCGCCCGACTTGATAGGTATAACAAAACGAAAATAACAATAACAATAATACGAATAATAATAACAGGGCAGAATAATTCTCGCTGAAAATACGGAATACGGTCGACCCCTACGATAGTAAAACCACTGGGATAGCCTCGTCGGCCTCAAACCCTCGACCTATTCAAACCGCTCTTGTACTCCTGTGTCGTCGATGATTCCTGAATTTCCTCAAATGAAAGTCCGACACCGTAACCAAATAGTGATAGGCCCAAGACTGGGTCTAGTACCGACGAACACCTAAATAAATGGATACTACATGACGTGCGGATCTGCTGAAACGTTTCAAAATCACGTTGTTGTTGATGTCGTCATTCGCACGTACGCACAAACCACTGACAAGCGTATCAATCAAGAGACAAACCTTTAAATCTTAATTTTAATTAGAACTAAAATTTTTGGCCGGCAACCGCGCCAATTCTATAATCATCAACAAGAAAAGAGATCACGGGCGCCTTAAGTCTGCGTGCCCACACTGTCTCTAATCTAGTCAACTTATTTAGTCCACGTAAGCAACAGACACAACCGCGACTCGCGCGGTATACTCAGACCCTAAACCAAGCTCATTTTTTTTTACTTACAAAAACCAGGGCGGATACCCTTGGAAGGGTATTCACGCCGAAAATGACTGTATTATGTATTTTGCACTAAAAAGGGGCAAAACCCTCCTAGGCACAACGAATGAGTTTAGTCGGGAGGTCTTCTATCCTTGGGCATTCGCCCGAGGCCATCTGTTTGATGGCTAAAGACAATTCTTTGAGTCTCGCTCCACTACTATCTGTTGTACAATTTCGTATAGTGGGACATCGCTCCACTACCTATATGAAATGCGTTTTCGAAACTCGCCGTATAGTTGTCAGAAGACGCCCTCCCGCTTCGCCATACGATCCCGTATGGTAACCAGCCTGCAAAAGTCGTTACTCGGAGGGTGGTCGAAGGAGGTCGGCGTAGCATCGCAAAATTGTATGGAGAGCCTGGAGTCTGGGCCGACAAATTGATGTCTTGTAGTGCTGTGAGAGTGTTTTGTAGTGAACTCCAAAATTGGAGACTCGTATAGCGGATAGTAAGTGGAGCGACACTAGGTCTTATACGGTTTTTAGAGCTCTGACAGCTATACGGCCGCTATACGAAATTGTGTACAGCAGATAGTAGTGGAGCGAGACCCTAACACATCAAATCCTCAAGAGCTGTGTGTGAGCTGTGTTAGTACACGCTAGCATGCTTTCGTGACATTGTTTCCACTAGAAGGCCTTTGATAAGGCATCCAGGTTTTGGAACAGGACGAAGGCCTGTATTAGCTCCTCCCCAAGGTGACTGTGGGAAACCCCACTAACTGAAAAAGGGTCTCGCTCCACTACTACCTGCTGTACACAATTTGGTATAGCGGCCGTATAGCTGTCAGAGCTCTAAAAACCGTATAAAACCTAGTGTTGCTCCACTTACTATCCGCTATACGAGTCTCCAATTTTGGAGTTCACTACAAAACACTCTCACAACACTACAAGACATCAATTTGTCGGCCCAGACTCCAGGCTCTCCATACGATTTTGCGATGCTACGCCGACCTCCTTTGACCACCCTCCGAGTAACGACTTTTGCAGGCTGTTTACTATACGGGATCGTATGGTGAAGCGGGAGGGCGCCTTCTAACAACTATACGGCGATTTCCGAAGACGCATTTCGTATAGGTAGTGGAGCGATGCCCCACTATACGAAATCGTACAGCAGATAGTAGTGGAGCGAGACCCTTAGAACAGTGAATGTTGAAAGGGTTGGATTAATAATTCCCTGATAGCTGGCCGCCGTATAACAGTCAGTGCACCCATGAACTCTTGAAATACAGACGTTTGTTCGAACCCATGATGTGTGAGGGCCTCGCCACACCACTCTGGAAATGTAAAACAGACAAAAATGTGGCGGGTGCATCTGGCCATGTTCTAGCAGGAAGTTCATTCTCATTTTGCACATTTCGAGAGTAGTGAGGCGATGACCTAAAGCAGCCCTGAATTGACATAGTCCAGGTCCGTTTGAAGATATCTCAAGGCCGTCGTCCTTTCAGAAAGGAAAGAAAAAGGGAAGGTGGCGCCCCGTGACAGCTGCGGGAAGGAGGGGGAGGAACAAGGCAGAGTGGAGGTGGGCCCACGATTTCGATGCATCTTTCAAGCAGAATAAAACTCAAACTTATTGACTGTCGATCTCATCAATCTAAGGACAGAAGTTGACGTTTGAAGTTTTTCCACGAATATCAAGGGCGGGACGTGGCGCTATCTACCGGTCGGAATCAGGAGTCTCTCTTCAGGGGTGAGGGATCGGAGAATCACAGCACCTACGGTCCCTTCAGCAGTCCCTTCGGCGGTCCCTTCGGCGGTAAGGGACTGGAGAATGTGCGGACGGATTGAAGTGGAGAAAAAACAAAGGCGGAGGGAAAGTGACGCCGGCCCTTTTACTATTTTCGCGCGCGGGCGGCCGGCGGGTGACTACTGGCGGGGTAGTGTATTCCCTTCCTTGTCGCAACCTTTTCGCAAACGCGAAACCAGACGAAGTTGTCCTATCTTGTGCTCGTAGAGGAAGAGGCACTACTGGCGCTTTCTGTCGGCGTTGGCACTTCTGGCGGGGTGGGTAGGGGGCGTGTGGTTCAGTGTGTTCTCAGCAGGAGATTCTTGGTGTGGCGCTACAGGAAGATGCAGCCATGCTATTCGACGACCAACTTGGTTCGGCAGCGGGAGCAGCAGGAGGGGGAGGAGCAGTCGCGGCAGTGGCAGCAGCGGCAAGAAGCAGTAGTGATAGCATTGGGAAGAGGAGAGGGGCGAGAGTGGCAACGGCAGCAAGAATAGTGATAAGTGGCGGGGGAGTGACATGAGGAGCAGGCAGGAGTGACCTATGTGACAACGGTCGGCGGAGCCCGCAGGTAGAGTGTTGCCAGGCAACGACAAACTGCTAGCCTGTAGAAGAAGTAACTTCGAGGAGAGGCGCTGGCTGTTTTGTCTGCCTTTCCTGCACGTACTGAACTTTTTGTGTTCTCGTCGTCAAGATCGAGAGAGCGGGGAGGAGGGAGATGCTGTTTTCTCTTCGATGGCATCATTGGCGTTGTCTTGTTCTCGCTCGAGACGCCTGCGCGGTCAGTTAACGCAATTCTCCCTGCATCAGTCTTTCCTTCTCCTCACTCTCTAGTCCTTGTCCGTCTCACCGCTCCGTCGCGCTTTGCGTATGATCGAGAAGCTGTCCAGCAGCTGAGTCAACTATCTTGTCGTTTTGCCGCTTTAGGATGATGTAGAGCATCGAGGAGGGCAGCGAAGTCTACCACAACAGACATCTCTTGAGGAGTCTGAGGCCGTTGAAAGTGTAGGCAGGGGCGGGGGGACTCCGTCATATCTTATGTGTGTGCGTGCTTACGTGTTTTACTCACACACACAGAGAGAGAGAGAGAGAGAGAGAGAGAGAGAGAGAGAGAGAGAGAGAGAGAGAGAGAGAGAGAGAGAGAGAGAGAGAGAGAGANGAGAGAGAGAGAGAGAGAGAGAGAGAGAGAGAGAGAGAGAGAGAGAGAGAGAGAGAGAGAGAGAGAGAGAGAGAGAGAGAGTTGGGGAGGGGTGGTATTATGAGGAAGCAGGGAATGGGGACTGGTGGGGGAGCAGGTGTCGGCTCCTTTTCCCATTCCGGAACGGCGGGAGGAAGGGATGCGCTGTTAGAGGAGTTAAAGCATTTAGACGAGACGGTGTCTAGGAGCAAGCAGTTTGATCCATCCATCTTGGCCTCGTACGGTTTGAGCCACAGTTTGTCTTTGTCGGCGGCATCATCACTGTACAAGCAGTCTCCTAAGCGCCCCCCCTCTGGGGGGCATGGAGACAAGGCCTCCGATGCCAGCAAGGGACTCGGTGGTCAGTCTTCTAGGTGGAAGAGTGGCGGCTCCGGTGGATTGTTCTCTAAATCGGGCCTCGCCAAAACCCAATCTGCCTCCAACTCTTGCACTTCCTCTCCATCTCGTTCGTTCACCTCCTCGTCGGGTTTCTCCAAGCTACGAGGCTCCGCATCTGGTGGAGCACCTGATCCGGCGGCGGCGGCCTCGCTGCCTCAGTCCGGCGAGTTGTCCGGCCCTCTTGACGCTCCTCGCCACCGTCCTTTGTTAAAACCGTTTTCTTTCTCGAAAGCCAAGAGCCGCGGCGGCAATGGCTTCTTTCCGTACGGACTCACCCCGTCTTGCTTTCACGTTAGAACCGACGAGTCGCTCGAGGGGATTACCTTACCGGCGAGGTCGCAGACTATGCCGGTGCAGAAGACTGCCAACGGGAAAGCAGGAATCCCATTCGAGAGGCAGAGTAGTTTGGATAGCAGTAATACTAGTAGAAGCGGGTGGGCGGGTCAGCGGGATGGCAGTGACGCGTCCGAGAGCACCGGGCAAACAGACAGGTACGGAAGAGGGCTTTCTAAAGGAGAAGGAGGTGCAGCGACTCGGAAGTCGGACAAATCATCTTACTCTTCCTCATCTTCTTCGTCCTCTCCCTCCTCCTCCTCCGCGTCTTCTCCTGCCGTCCCTGCTTCCAGAAAGGTAGTGGCGGCAGAGAGGCGAAACTCCTCGACAACATCTGGAGTTGGGAATGGAGTTTCGAGTACTGGGGCTAAGCTAAACCCGCGTGATGAAACTCAGCACGAGGTAACGTCGAAGCTGCGCTCGTCGTCCTTTAGACGTTCGACAGAGACAGAACAAGTAAAACAGGCAAAAGGATCCGCAAGATCATCGTCGTCGTCGTCTTCCTCCTCTGTTTCCGTCTCGGCCGCCGCCTCTCCGCTCCCTACATCCGCCGCTTCGGCAGAAAAACGACGAACGTCTGAGCGGTCTGTAGTTGCGTCCACTTATCCCGCTGTCGCTGCATCGGGTGACGTGGCTTTTGCTAGCGCATCTGGCGATCGCTTGAACGGGAGTGAGAGCAATGGCGGCGATGCGGCGAGAGCCTTCCCCAGGGATGAGAATGGCTCTGGACGTGTGTTGTCTGTCCCAGCAGCAGAAGCGGAAGCGGCGACCGACCGTCGTGAAGAAGCAGCAGCCTCTGTGGAGGAGGAAAGGAAAGCGGACGAGACAACGGAGCGTGGCGCGCGTGATGGACATAAGAAAGGAAGAGAGGAAGTCGGCCTCCAGGCCTTTTCTGGAAGAGGCGAGTTGCCTTCTGCCGTCTCCTCGTCTCAAGACAGCGGCTCGATGGGTCGAGATGTTCCCGGAAGTGATGCATCTCCGTCGGAAGCTGCTTCTTCTCAGCGATGGAGGAAAACCGGCGGGCAAAGCGAAAGCCCTCTCTCGGTAAGCAACAGCTTTTCGTACGACACGTCGTTGCCCAATATCCCGTTTCATCAGAATGAGAACGGCGGCGGACCCGGTGTCAAGAAAATGGGCTCGATCTCCGATTTCTTCCACCGACGCCATTTCTCTCTGAATGATAAAGCGGCAGCGAAGAAGTCGGGAAGTGACGACGACGGTATTCCAACGTCGGCACCTTTTCCGAGTCTGAGGGAGGAACGCCTGTATGCGCACGGGTTTGGAAGGTCTGAGTCATTAGTTACGGGAAGAAAGCTGGGAGGGTTTTTCAAATGGAAGCCGTTGCGCGCGCTGGCGCGCTTAGGACACCATCGTTCCGCGTGCACGTTCTCTCTCCATGTGCGAGGAATCGAGAACATGTCTTTTATTCCTGATGGCAAGATGGTGATTGTAAGGTGGAAGAGAAAGGAGACCTGCACGGAGACACGAGCTGTGGCAGTGAAAGGCGGACACGCCTCCTTTGACACTGTTCTTTACCTCGACTGCACTCTCTATGGCAAAGGTGGGAGGTCTAAGAAGTACTTGCCCAAGACCTCCATGCTGCTCGTGCTGTTCTCCGACGCTAATGGGGCCGTTCTGGGAAAACACCAAGTTGACCTGAGTAAACTCGTCCCTTCCTGCTTGAAAGAGCCCTTAACCAAGCGATTGCCATTGACAGGGCCGGGGGGTGGAGCCTCTTTGGTGGTAACTTTCGGTCTTGTCAGCGAGTCAGCCGATCCGCTGGACACTGCAGGCCGCCATGCTTACGAGGACAAGGTGACGAAATCAGTAGCGGCCATGAAGATGCATTCTCATGTCGCGTCGCAGCCACCGGATGCGTGCGGAGAGAGGGACCTGAAAGTGAGAGCGGCGTCTGACATGACCAACAGAGTGGGATCTGACACGACGGTCAAAGTGGCATCTGACGCGAGAGAGAGCCAAGAACGAGAACCAGAGTCGCGGACGTCTTTCTTGCGTGAAGAGCAGAATGGTGGTCTTGTGAACACCGGTAGCAGTCTTGAGGATGAGAAGGCGGGGTCGGCCTGCAGCACGACCGAGGGTGATGAGGCCACCAACATGGTCCGAGAAGCATGCTCGACAGCGGAGTTACTGGAAGATGCAGTGTCGTCGGAGCCGAACAAGGTTGAGGCGTCGGCAGTTGAGGAACGGGAGACGGACGCGGTGCTTATAGATGTGGACTCGGAAGAACGGGAGGAGGAAGGCGAAGTAGAAAAGACTGAAGCGCCCACCCTGGAGGAGGAAGGAGAAGTAGAAAAGACTGAAGCGCCCACCGTTGCCGTTGGGCCGATGGTCCAAGAACTTGCTTCTTTGTCGTCTTCTTCTGGGACGAAACCGAACGAGGTGGTCGCTTCGGCGACAACGTATTCTTCTTCTTCTTCTTCCTTTGTTGGGTCAGCATCGCCATCACCATCTCTCTCTTCGTTATCGTTAGCGTCGCCCACGCAACCTCTGGCATCACCTCCTCTGCCTTGGCCGACCCCTCCGTCACTGTCACAGGCGGTGCCACCATCGCCGTCGTTGCCGTCGACTGCCTTAACCACCACACCCACGGAGGATCCGGAGAAAAGTCCGATCAAACTTCTGATTGAGAGTTTCTCGGGCTTGGAGAAAGGAGGCGGAGGTGGAGGTAGTGGTTCGTGTTCACTAACATCGATAGCGAGCGGAGAGGATGAAATCGTTTCCTCCCTGTCCTCCATCTCGTTCACCTCGCCGTCGGCCTCCTCCTCCGCTCATGTGGCTGAAGAAGAGAGCGTCCACGAACTCAGTGGCGACGGCGTCACTCCAGGCGAACGGGAGATTCTGAGCGATACGGGCAAGAAGACGGAACCGGTCTCGGTACCAGGGACTTCCTCGTCAGGTGTTGAGGACCAGGTGATGACGGTCGAGAAGCAGGAGAGCGCTCGACCGGCAGCAGCAGCGACGTCGGAACTCGTCGAGGAAGGCAGCCTAGCGTTGTCAGTTGAGCGGAGCGACCAGGGGAAAGCCGGCTTGATGGGCCCTCAGGCTGCCAGTGGAGGAGGAGATGAAGGCAGCGGGATGGCGAGGGATACGAACCCGGAGCATCCTGACGATGATGGGGTTTCGACGGGAATAACTACCGCCGAATCGCTCCCGGCTAGCGGCGGTGAGGAAGAGGAGGCTGTGATGTCTCTATTGGCGAGCGTCATGGGAGTGCAAGCGATCGAGGTCAGTGGACTAGAAAACACCGACAGCCTGGAACATAGTTTACGCGCCGGTGTGGCATCGAATGAGGTGCCAGCGGGGCGGACGGAGATGGTGCCGGGCGGCGGTTCAGATCAGCTTATGAGGGAGAGAGTCGACTGTAAGAAACGCCAGGAGGAGGAGGGGGTGGAGGACGAGGAAGATCCGTTACTTGATGAATTCTTGAACATGTTAGTCGGATCGATGAGCGACGACGGTCGGTCCGTCGATGGATCGGCTTCGCGGAGCTCGCAGTTGATGAAAGAACTTGGACTCGAAGAAGATGACGAACCTTTTTCTTCTTTCTCTTCCTCTCTTCCCACGCAACAGCAGCGACAGCATAAGCCGCCGCCGCCGCCGCCGCTGCCGCCGCTGCCGCCGCCGCCGCAGCAGCAGCAGCAGCGGAGCCCCTGGGATTACAACGACCATTCGTTCGAGTTTCCGATCTTGAGCGGTGCCATACCGGACGGGTTTTCGCCGCCGGAAAAGATCAGATCTGGGGCTTTAACATCTGTATTGGATAGGAAGGAGTACACCGATCCCTGTAACCCTGTCGTTGAAGGAGGAGCCAAAGCTGGAGGAGAGCCGAGAGGGAAGGAAGGTGCGCCTAAGGGCAGCAGCAAGGCTTCGCTCGGAGATGCTGGCCGTGCCGTGAGATCATTTTTTCGCTCGAACAAAAGTGGTGCTGGTGCCGGTGCTGGTGCTGCTGCGACGAACAAGAAGAAGACGAGGACGAGCGTGGAGTTAATGGAGGACAAGGAGACAGAGGACCTGATGAGGAAGTTTGGCTTTGACAAGCAATTCCTCGAGTCTGAGAACCTGGACAGACTACACCCGGACAACTCTCGCATCGTCAAAGGGTCTAGCCAACGTATCGTGAACATAGCGGGCGCGCTAGAGGCTGCTGTCGCGGCTTCCTCGCTCGGCGTAGGGTTGGGCTCTGTGATTCCGACCCGCGATGGCGGTATGCTGAGAATGCTCACTCCTCACGGCGTGGGTGGTGGAAAACTTGTGATGCAAGTATCGAGACCTGTCGTCGTTCCCGCGGAAATGGGGTCGGACTCGATGGACATCGTCAGAAGAATGGCGAGAGCAGGAGTGAACGGGATGGTCGTGCAGGCAATGATGGCTATGCCTCTTGACGACCTGGACGGCAAGAAGCCTCATCAGGTGCACGCGGAAGCGATGGCGGCTCTCGAGGGAGGCAAGTACTGCAACGGGCTGAGCCAGGGCATCACGGATGGAGGCCGTACGAGTGTGGTGGAGTTAAGTGAAGGCGCGATGGTGAAAGCGGGAGTGTCCAGATACGGGAAAGAGGACGAGGAGAATGGAAAGGGGAGGGAGATGTTGCAACTAGAAGACGGACGGAGTGGGGAGGAGGAGGGAGGGAGCGGGGAAGGAGGAGCGATGGTGAAGAGGGAGAGCGGTGGCGCGATGGTGACTATTGCAGGGAAAGGAGGAGGAACGCTGGTGGTTCGCCGGAACGAGCAGGGACAACTCGTCGGCCGTAGGATGGGGGAAGTCGGAGGGCAAGTTGTCGTGCTAGATGAGAAGGAGGTAGTTCTCCAAGGAGGCGATACGGATAGACAACATGGTGGCGGGAGATTTGCCGCCGTGAACCGAGGTAGGGATCTCTACCCCGGAGAACTCGTAGACGACTGCGTTACGTTGGAGGAGCTCGTGCCTATGGCGATGGAAACCATCGAGGCGTTGGCTCTCGAAGGGCTCAGGATTCAAGCCGGTATCAGCGAGGAAGACGCGCCGGGCACGATGGAATCGCTGCCATGGAGGAGGGAAGCGCCGGGAGCTATAGCAGCAGGGGGAGGAGTGCGCACTAAAGGAGGCGGGGGCGCCGGGCACGTAGAAGGAGCAAGCAATGGTAATGGTAATTCAATACGAGGGCTGATTGGAGGAGGAGCCTCGCTGCTGCTTCTTGAGGATGGAAACCGAGAGGAGAGCATGCGAGCGCTCGGGGAATGGAAGTCCGTGACATCGTCCTCTTCGTCGTCCACTTCGTCGTCCTCTTTGTCGTCGGCAGGGAGCGCGGGTAATTTCATGTCTATGGCGATCAGTCTAGATGAGTGGATGCGTCTGGACGCGGGAATTGCGGATCCTCAAGCCGCCAACGAGGAGGTGATGTCTGTCTTGTCTCTGCACGAGCGCGCGCACGGGCCTGTAGACAGCGGCATTTTGCAGAAAATCACCAACGGCGGAGGTGCCGACATCCGCGGAGGATGTGGGGAGGGTGCCGTCATCGCGGTGCCCGCGAGCAGAAACGGCCTCGTGTATGGCAGAAGCGCGGAAGGCATGCCAAAGAGTGGCGGTGGGCACACAGTCGTCGTCGGCGGCGGCGGAGGCTGTGGATTCATGGGTAACACTCTGACGCTGGCGATGCTTGTGCAGTTGAGGGACCCCCTTAAGAATTACGAACCCCTCGGAGCGCCCATGTTGGCAATGGTGCAGGCCGAGAGGGTGAATGTGCACCCTGCTCTTCTTGACAAGGAGAGGGTGAATGGCGGAGGAAAAGGAGGTCCTCTGGATGAGACGGACGACGGGGGGATGCGAGACGAACCATGCCAAAATCCGGGAGAGCATCATGGGAAAGAGGATCGTCCTCGCTTCAAGATAACCGGTATACACATGTGTGGACTGAATCAAGCAGCGGAGACGACGAGCAAGAAGAAGGGCTGGGGTGGGCAGAAGCAACAACAATCGGGATCTCGATGGCTGTTAGCGAACGGGATGGGGCCGAAATCCAGACACCCTTTCCTAAAGACGAAGCCTGTACCTTCGCAGACGAAAGTCAAGGAAGGGGAGTCGTTGTGGAGTATCTCCGCGAAACTGTACGGTAGTGGCGCGGAGTGGAGGAGGGTGGCAAAGCTGAATCCACACATTCGAAACCCAGATGTAATCTTCGCGAACGAGACTCTGCGCACGAGATAGGCAAGTGCGGGCCGTTATCGAGTATAGAAACAGTGTATGTATAATGATGTGTTCCCTTGTCGCACGTTCCCTACTAGTAGTAACGTGTTCAATTATTACGTTGGCTGCTGCGAGGGTGCAATCCGCCCTCACTGGCACTCAGCCTCTCAGCTTGGTCTTCACTCAAGCTGTCTGTCATATGCCTCTGCCTCTGTCTCCCTTAGCTTATGAACGTGCCGAGAGGGGGGAATAGTGAAACCCAGAAAGCGGTGATGGCGTCGAACGTTGCCGCGCGTTCAAATCTGTTGTTCTTAACCCCATTATCTTGTCCTTTTCCACAGTTAGTAATTCGTTGGTTCGGCCCTTTTTCCCTTTTTTTTTTTTTCTCTCCCGGCGACCTCACGTTGTCAGGTGTAGTAGTGTAAATACCACCACGTAAACAGGGTGGGACAGGACAAACCCCAGCGTGCGTGCGCACGTTCGCAATAGAAGAAGGGTGGGTGGAGAAACTTAGTGCGTGTGTATCTTCGTCGATGTACCGATGTTATCTTACGTCCCTATCTTTTGTGTCTGCTGCAAGATTACCGTTTGGAAGCTGATGCATGTACACAAGCTGTTGCAATACGTTTCTGTGGGCCGTCGCTGAGCGCTCATCGGGATGAAGGAAAGTAGTGTATTTCCCTTCGAATCTTCTGGAGGAGGATCTCGGTCTCTCTCTTTCTCTTCCTCTCGTTCTCTTGCAGTCGATGTGGTTATTCATTGTGGGGATGAGCAGGGTCTCAGACGGATAGATGAGTGGAAAAGGGGTGCTGTATTTATTTCCCGGATATGCGGGGCTTTGCTTTTCAAGCATAGACCCAAATGTAAAAGAGGAGTTGCAGAGTGCCGCTAGTATGAAGTAGCAGACTGTGCGTTGCAGAGTGCCGCTAGTATGAAGTAGCAGACTGTGCGTTGCAGAGTGCCGCTAGTATGAAGTAGCAGACTGTGCCAATGACTCAATGAGTGTAATTGTTCGCCCATAGGTTATTAGATGAGTTCGGACGGTCAGGACTTGTGTACAGTACGAACGCACTTGTCGGCCTGCAGCCAGCAATCAATTTACTGTGCAAGTTTGAGAGAGAGGGAGGAGGGGCGGCATAGGAGTATTATACTTGTAGGCACGGAGCTGCGATCAATTGACTGCAAGTTTGAGAGAGAGAGGGAGGAAGGGTGGCGTAGGAGTAGTGGGGTGGTTATACGGGAGAGCCTTGCGTGGAGGCAAGGAGTTGCTCTGTTAGAAGCCTCCTCCACAACAATAGATCGTTTCTTGTACGATGGATCTCCAGCAGGCATTAACCAGTCTCCCCTTACCTGAACTCAAGAGTCTAGTTCCTCCAAATTTTGCTTTTTTGGCACACCTGAAATCATTGAAGAGCGTATCTGAGCATCTCTCACGGGAACTCTATGCCTACTCTGCTAAATAGCTGGAGCCAGTCGGCCTTTACATGGGTTCTTACTGCGAAGTAAGGAAAAGAAAGAAATAGAGCCTTCTTCAAGTTTCAAAGCTGGGAAAGATTGGGTCGGTGGTGCTGTTATATTATCCGGCGTGGGAAGAGGCAATTGTTTTTGTAATTGCCTTTTCTCTGCCAGGTATAATTGTGGTATGTGGTCGTTTCCAGCCATCTGGGCGTCCGTGTTATGCGGCTTGTCCAATTGCCTTCAGGCGAGACCAAAGCAGGGAGTGGGAGGTGAAAAGACATCTTCTGTTCGTAACATGAAGTTCTCCTCCTCCCTGAAATTGAAGATAGGGCTGTGCTATCTGCAGCGTTTGGTGGTGTACGCATGTACGGGGGGGGCGGGGAGAGAGAGAGAGAGAGAGATGCCTCCTAGTGTGGATGGTAGCGAAATGTACCGTTGCGATGCATGTTTTCGTGAGAGTATTTTGGGTGCAGCGGAGGGCATCAAGGTGTAATTGATCATATTGGAGGGAACTGGGCCATTCGATTGGATGACTGGGACTGTTTAATGAATGGTAGCACGGTCTGCGAGGATGACTGCATCCAAGCTTTGCTCACTCTTCAGGGGAGAGGTTGCTGCTCTTGCGGAAGGGCTCAGCTCGTGAGAGGACACGGATTGGAGTTAGCAGGTGAGCTTGTCACATCTGAAGCCCCCTATTTCCCTCCTTGGCTATCTGATGATATCCCTTCGGCCCTTCATCTTTCTCCACCCTCCTGCGATTCACCCTTGTAATTATCATATCCTCTCCCCAAAGAAGTGGGTCACACACTAAACCCTCTGTTCATATGGCAGCATTTCTTCACTGGAAGATCATCAGAAAGAAACCATGAAGTCCATGGAGTTGGGTAGTCGAGCAACTGCAGAGTTGAAAGACTTGGATGGATGGAATGTGGCAGTGACGATGGTTGCCCTGTATTCGTTCCCTCTTTTTATGTTATTACAAGTTGGTCTTCGCTTCCTTCTTACAAAGCCTTCAGATCTTTGTTTCATGTGTATCCCCGTCCTGCTCCTTACTGGTCATCGTTGTGGATGGACTGGACTGGTACGTGTGCGTACACAACACTGTCTACGTAGGACGTAGGAAGGAAAGGGGCATGGCAGAATCAGTGACCACTTGCACTTTTCTTGCACTTTTCTTTCTCCTCTTACAAAGGAGAAAAATAATCTTGCACGAGAAGTTGCAGATCTTGAAATGAAGTATCAGACTCAGTCTGACACTTTCTCGCTGGACAGAGTCTGACCTAGTCTGACAGTTCATTTCAAGAACTGAGATTTTTCATGAGAGGTTCCGAATTACTCCTCTCGGGAAGGTGAAAAAGTGCAAGGTTTCATCCTCCTCTGTGGGAGGTGAAAAAAGTGCAAGGGGTCGGTGATTTTGCACCAAGCGTAATGGTGAAGGAAGGGTATGGTGGTGAGTTCTGTACCGTCTGTCCACAGCTTGCATTTAGAAAGCTCAGGTGATGGTTGCTGCTAGAGCACCTGTAGAGGTGTTTTTCTCTACCTTGCCCTATATGCCCCCCCCCCCAACCCCCCACCCCCCCACCAGCTATTCCCTTGGCAGTTGCTCAAGAGTATCACAAGTTAGTATGGAATGGGATCAGCTGGTTGCACTCAAAGGTCCCTGCTGTAGCTTTTCTGTGTCGAGTTCACAAAGCATTTCCCTGCCCAGTGCACATCCGACCTCACGCAAAAGATAACCTTGCATGGGAGGGACACTCTCTGTGGGTGTGGAATGCAGTGCACCTTTTCTTTTTCCCTTTTTAGTAGTTTGTACCTAAACTTAGCGTGTGCCCGCGCTAGCACTTTCCGAAATGCATCAGATTGCAATTACCACCCGACGTGGATGAATCTGCATGCAGTTACGTCCAAAAGTAAGTAAAGAAGTGCTAGTGTGAGTGACTATGCCTTCTAGTATGGGAGAGGCATTTTGTGTGTGTGTGTCTGTGTGTGTGTGTGTGTTTGTGTGGAATAGTGTGCCCGTCCTTTTTTAGTAGTTTTTACCTCAATTTAGTATCAAAGTCGTTGAGCATGCTGGTATGCCAGGTGCTGCTGCTGCCACAGCTAGAGAAGTTTACAGCTTCCCTATTTCTAATTTAGACTGTGAAGAATCTATGGCTGCGATACTCGCTGCAGTAGTATTCCTGGTGAAGAATCTATGGCTGCGATACTATCTGCAGGATTTGGGATGCCGACACATATGCCAACAAATTGGACGAGTGAGGCCCCAGAAATGAATAGACAACTGCTGTTCCATGAACAGAGCCGGCAAGAGCGTCATCTGTGAATATTGGGATTTAAACCGCGAGTACACGGCCTCAGTCTTGTAGAAAATCACCGAGTTGCCAACGTCTAAAATTTTGGGGTTCGCGGTTACTGGACCACAATGGCGGGCGACACCAGCCAAAAAAGAAAGAAAAAGTGCACTGTTGGCGGCTCGGAAAATCTTGGTGCACAGTGCAGCGCGCCTCCAGACCCGGGTGTACTGGTTGTTTAACCAAGGCAGTTGCGTACATGTTTTGGAGTCGACAGAAAGACTGTTGCACACATGCTACACACTGTACTCCTCTGTGCTGAGAAACAGCTTCGCTGGTCGGCGGCCTCCCTCCAGCAGTGCGTTTGTGGTACAGTGCGCCCATGACGGATGAAAAACAAAAGAATCTGTGTGTGATGTAATCCCCCCCCAGCAATAAGTGTTGTGAAGATTCGAAGAACCATGTTGTGGTCTCTTTTTTGTCAGCAGAGCAATGGATGTTTGTTTGTATCCCCCGCTCGCCACAGCTTTGAAGAAAGTTGGGATTACTGCTGTTCATTCTTTCTGTGCATTTTTGTTTTGTAGGGGAAGTTAACAGTGAGGTGTGGCTAACCTACTTGGGGTATGTGTCGTCGCAGCAATGGCCTGAAGGATGGGAGAATGGCGGTGATCTTGATAGGCTTTTGGAATCTGGAAGTTGAGACAAATTGGATATGGACAGGTAATGGATGGAGTGCTGGTTCGAACCTTGGTGAACAGTTGTCGATCCATCCATTACCTTTCTGGCACATGCTTCAGCCTAACGACATTGGAATAACTTCGCGATGCTGAGAATGTATGTGGATGCCCTTGGTTGGAGCACAGGGAGAGAACAGGGAGAGACCAAACAAGAGCATAGATCACCTCCATCCATGCAGCAGGAAGGTTCGAAGCTCGGTGGTGAAAGAGTTGTTGGACATTGGAATAGAATCTGGGACTTATTTCGATCTCTGCCGATGACCCATGTGCAGCTGCTCTCCGCGATTGCCTCTCTGCGATTGCCTGTCTTTTGTGCTACGTTGCTGGAAACGGTGTCGAGCGTCCCTTGCATCAAATGCACTCACCCTTTGCTTCTCCCTGTTATGGTCTAGACAACCCGAGGCGGCGGCAGCATGTATCGTTAGATTCGGTACCCTCCTCCCACTGGGAGGATATAGCCCTGCTCCATCCGCCCTTACTGTTGTTCTGGTTAGAAAATGCTCCTTCTGACATTTTGATGGTCGCCGCTGTGTTTTGTTATTGCAGGTTTGGAGGCCTGGCATACCGGCAGAAGCTGAAAGACTCTGTTTGGAGCCTCTCATTGCGCCTTTCTACCTGGTCTGTTGCGGGAATTCGCATGCGTTTATGAAGGAAGGATGGCGGTTCATGGCAATCATTCCTTTATGAAGATGGTGTGTGGTGGGTGTCTTGGATATTCCGACGATAGCATGTCCGGTAGGAGAGCATCTGAAAAGAAGAGCAGCACAGGAAACCGCCGGAGTTGAAGACACTGACAAACAAAGTGGCTTCATCAAAGATTGTTCGTTTACACTCCGGAAACAAATTAGGTAAGTTATGTTTTATCTCTAGTGCTATTCTGGACGAATTGGTTTCTAGCAGGCCCATGATGAGATGAAGAGAATATTAGTTGTGGTCCACATATATGGCACAGGTGGACGAAGTCGCAATGTGTCGTACCGTCTGTTTTTACTGCGCGCAAAGTCGTAGGGGGTAGCATGGTACAGTTACGGTAGGTAAACAGAGGCAGGTTATCCTAGTACGAGTTAAAGATGAGGTATGGGAGGTAGCCAAGGTAGGTGTCCTTGTAGGGGGCATGGATTATGCGGTCTGCTCTCTGCTGAGGTGTGCACTTGCAGTCAGATTGCAAACCAGCGGGCTAGTAGCCTACTTATTCCTGCTGCTGCAGCCGCTGCTGTCTCATCATGTTGCAACCCGTATTATTTTGTCCTTGTCACGTCCGCCATAGAATTTTTTCCCCTCTCCCTACCCCCTGCCTTCCCCCCTCCTCCCTCGGCCTTCCCCTTTCCCCCCTCTTCTCCCTACCTTCCCCCTCTTCCTCCCCCTTCCGATCCCCCTCTCCTTGTTTCCTTTGAGGGAAATTCGTCCGTTGTAGATTGCAACTTTGTACCATACAAAAGGAATCTTTTGAGAAGGATAGTTGTGAAGCATTATGGTCACTAATCTGCTATTAATAATGGTATTTCAAGGTTCATTTTCTTATTAAAATCCTCGAGGGTTCTGCTCTTATCTGGTGTTACATTCTTGTGTCTTCCAAGTTGTGCACAATGATGGAATCTGTCTGTGCTTCTTTTTGCCTCTGGTAGCCCTTCAATCGATGATTTTGGCAAGTGGACACTGCTCCCTGCAATCACAGCTAAACTGCTCTGGGCTGAGCAGAAAAAAAAAGTGTGGAGTTGCATTGTTCGTCTTGCTTCAAGTCCTCTGCCGACTTAGGTCCTCTGCCGACTCTGCGCTTTCCTTCTATGTTGTAGGCAGAGGACCGGAGTGCGAGAGCGTGCTTGTATGTCAGTTGTTAACATGAATATGTCTGGCGACTCTGCGCTTTCCTTCGTTTGTTTTTCCGTAAAGTGCGCTCCTTTTTTTTTTTTTTTTTTTTTTTTGGGGTGATGGTCTGATAGCTACGTGGCAATAGATTGTATTTCATCGGAACAAGCGGTGAGACTGTAATTCGCTTTTGTGCATATGGCCCATGCTAATCTTCTCTGTATCGTTCCAATTTTAATGGATGTCCCGATGTACAAGACTGTATGGATTGTTCTAGTGGAGAGAGAAGAAACATTATTCTCTGCATCTGAAAATCTGGTAACAATCTGTGTCTATGCACCCCCCCCCGCCACCTTCTTACGCACTTTTTGCATGTTAGCTGGCCAGGCTTTTCCAGATTGTGAAAGCTGGCGGTTATGTTTAGGTTGGCTTTCTACACCAGCATGTGAATCCTTGTTTCGGTTTGCTTCTCTGTGCGTTCGGGTTGAGCTTGGCTCTGTGCACGCTCGAGTGTTTAGCCCTGTGGGAGTATGGGGGCTCTGACTACCCCCCGTCGCGGCTATGCTGAGCGTGTCGTTTGTGCATGGAGTGGGTTGCTTTTTTCTATTTTGTTTTTCGGCATTTGGTTTCTGGCATTCATTGCATTTGAATAATTTCATGTGCAGCTCTGTGATTAAGATTGAAGCAGAGCGGAGATAAAGCAATGATGAGGAGGGCTTTCTGCCTATCGATATTTTGCATGTTTGCAAGTCTGCGAACATCGAAAGCAGGGGTTCTTGCAACTGTCTGGTTCTGGTTGTGTCTGTTGGCTCAGAGATATAGCAGTTTTGGGCCTTCCTAGCTTGTGCCGACTCTGGGTTCACTCCCAGTGGTCATGGTCAGATTTGGGACTTGTTCCAACTGACGGCAAGCCTTTCTTATGCGTTTCCTGCCGTGAGCTTGCCTGCCGCTTTTCCCACCGTTGGGAGGGGGAGTGGCTAATGCCCTGGCCTTATCTCTGAATGGTAAATGATGAAGTGTGAGGTTGGAGGTGTGATCTTGACAGATCCAAGGCCAGTGCTGATCAATGAAACAGATCGGAAGTCCCCTCTTTTCGGCTCTTTTCTTTTCCACTGCGGTTTGCATGTTGGAGAGTGCAACATTGCGTTTGTCTTTTTGGCAGAGCCCAATACTCCTTGTACAGCGTGCAAGTGGGCTGTTATGGCATACGGGGATGAGGGCAGCTCGCTCTCAACTTCATCAACGTGGCGAGCCTTGCACGTGAGAGGCACAGTGGAGGTGGAGTTCAAAGAAGAATGAGAAATTTAATGGTTTCAATCTGCCCTTGTTTTTTCTTTTTGTTTTTATTTTTGCATGTTATCACTGTGCCCGTTTTTTGCTTTTATTCTTTGTTCCGCAAAGTGCGCTCTTTTAGTTTGTAGTGATGTGACAATATAT